ACACACACACACACACACACACACACACACACACACACACACACACAGCTTTTTAGCCAAGATACTTCTATACTAGTATTCTTAAATGATTTTATTCTATGTGATGGATGCTTTGCCTGAATGTATGTGTACATGTGTCTGGTACCAGCAGAAGAGGGCATTGGATCCCCTGGGCTGAAGTTACAGATGGCTGTGAACCACCACATAGGTGCTGGGAACTGTACTCTGGTTTTTATAAGAGCAGCTAGGGCTTTGAACCACTGAGCCATCTGTCCAGCCCCACACTAGTATTCTCTTTCCTTCAGTCTCTCTCACAGACAAGTCAATCACTATCTGTAGAAGATAGTTTGCGCTATTATTTCATTGTTGAAAAGATTTGAAACCTCTACTCTGAGCTGAAGTGAAATCGGCCTTCTTATCTCTGAAGAAAGGGTAATCTTTTCAGGAAGTGGTACATGTGCAAAAGAATGCAGCTAGACTTCTGTTTCTCATCACTTACAGGACTCAATGGAAAAGTGGATTAAAGATAAAATGCCTAAACTGTGAGACTAAGGAAAAGAGAGAAAAGGCAATGCTTCGTTTCAGTCGTATGGGCAAAGTTTTGTTTTTTAATAGCTAGTACCCAAAAGCACATAGAACAGAAGGTGCCACCTACTCCTAACATTAGCACTAGGTTCTGTTATATATAGCAGGCTAAGTCTTCCTCTAATACGGGTGACCCAGTCCTACTACAGGCCCTGTTTCTGTTCCTACACTCTATAGCATCTTTACAGAAAGGTCTTTATCCTTAATTAAATGAAAGGGTGATAATATTTATTGAAAGTTAATATAATGAGACATTTATAGTGTATGAACACCAAAATCAACTTTCCTGGGCACAGCCCTAGCTACCTTGCAAAATAGCGGCCATGTCCTTTAAGACCTCCTACACAATGCAAGAGAAAAACCAGATACCTCCTTTTTCATGAGGGGAAGGTTTTGTGTCAACAAGACAGAAGCTGGCACCAGGAGTGTGGGGTATTACTGTGACAGACCTGACCACGTTTTGGGGAGGACTGTGGAAGGACTTTGGAATTTTGGGCTAGAAAAGTCATTGAGTGTTTAAAGTTCAGTAGGAAGTTCTTGAGAAGCTTGACAGATAATGTTCAGGATAGTGCAGAAGATGGAGGCCTGACTTCTGAAGTTTCAGAGGAAAATGAATGGCTCTCTCAGGACTGTTGCTATTTTGAATTGAGATTCTGTGGTTCTGGTCAGCTGGAACTGAAGAATCAGCCATGATTATCAAGAGACCAGCCACCACTGAAGTGGAACCTTTACGTTACTAGGACAATTGCTGCTGGTTAGCTAGAGCTGAGAAATTAGAGGTGATTAAGGAGTCCAGCGTCACTGAGGTGAAATCTTCCAGGAAGTGCTTCCTTCCTGAGAGTTTCACTGTGCTCCAGAAGTAGTCAATGTTGTACCTGGTGCTGGCAGCCAGCCATGGTAGTGTGTAAGAGTCACTCAGGTGGTACTGGTTTTGAAGGCATGAAGGGGTCATGAAGAGCAGCTGAGGATTGGCACCATGAAGAGAACCTATTGGTGAAAGTGCAAGCCCATGTAGCAGAAGCCCCAGTGTTTCAGAAATGCCAGTACCATGGGACTGCTCCCAGCAGCAGCAGTAGCGGAGCTAGCTGGAAGCCTAGAAGACAAGCTGTGTGTGCTACAGAGAGCAGAGCTGGAGAAGTGACCCAAGCCCTTTGTAGGATCCCAGAAGATCGGGAGTGGATCTCAGACACTGGACTGCTGGAGTTTGACTTTGCTTTGATTCGACTGTGACAGTGCCTTGATTTTTCCCTTTTGAAGTAAGGAAGCATCTGGCTTTTCTTTTTTTTTACTGGAGCCTACAACTTTAAGCAGCATCCTCCAGGGCCTCTGCATCAGCTCTTGTCTCCAGGATCCTGCCCTGCTTGAGCTCCTGTCCTGACTTCCTATAATAACGAACAGCAATGTGGAAGTATAAGCTTCCAACTGGCTTTTTGGTCACGTTTCACTGACACAACTGCAACCCTAACTAAGACAGGACCTTACATGTTTCCACCTGACCTGCTGCCTGTCTCGTCTGCACGAACGTCCCTGCTCCTGGCTCTCTCTTTAGGACAGGCTCTCATTGTCTCATCTGCATGAACGTCCCTGCTCCTGGCTCTCTCTTTAGGACAAGCTCTCATTGTGCATCCTTGCTTAACCCAACCCACTGTGTAGACCAAGCTGGCCTCCGACTCAGAAATCCACTTATTTCTGGTTCCAAGTGCTGTGATTAAAGATGAGCATCGAGACACCTGCCTTCCCTGGCCTTCCTGAGCGTTTGTGAACAGCACTATCAGTGTGTGCACTGTCGCAATCGTGAGTAACTGTGAACAGCACTACCAGTGTGTGCACTGTCGAAATCGTGAGTAAGGAACGCATCAACAGCAGCGCCCTCTCCGCCCACATTCCCCCTCAGTCAGCGGTCTCCATCTTACAGGGACTCACAGGGTCCACGTTTCTTCCCCACTGACTCTAGAGCTCCCTTCATCCAGATAAGCTTCCATCCAGAGTAAGCAAAGCAACTCATTAAGGTTTACATGTATCTCTGGGTACAGCCTCCTCTGAGGCCAAAGCTCAACTCTTCTTCCACATACGACTGACAGCTCAGAAATACCTGTTTTTCTGATCCAACTGACTATCCCTCCCATAGACACTCATCCTTAAATTAGGAGGTGATGTTACCTCTTGAGAGAAAATGGGAAGTTGGCATGCTAGGAAGTTCATATCCACGTCTTGCTCCTGTTCCTATTTCCCTCTCCTGATCCCCTTTCCTGGTTCACACTAGCCCTCCTAAGTCTTCCCTACCTAATCCCTCCCTCTCGCAGACTCCATTCTGTCAGATGGCTTTAAATGCTACTGAAAATTCTCAATTTATTACCTCCACACCATCCCTTTTCTTTGAACGTAAGCATTCTAAACCTAATGCCTACTTGTCCTTTCTTCTTGGGTATCTACCTGGTATCCTGAACTTAACACAAATTCAAATGAATTCTTGATTTTCCTCACAAAGCAGCAGCTTTTGCATTCCTCTCCTAGTTGCTCAGGTTACAAGCTTGGCAGAGATTAAGTTTTCCCCACTCCTTTCTGATCCCCACAACCAACACAACCTCCAAATCACAGAAAGCTTATCTGATTAGAATCCTCTTAAAGTTTTTTTTTCCTCTCAAACTGGAATTGTTTTTAAAGATCCATCCTTAACTCTACAGCCTTGGTCAGGCCACCAGCTAACCTTGCTCACGCCTGTAATCTCTTCCACTGACCTCTCTTCCATCACTGCTGCCATTCTACAATCTACTCTCAAAGCAACATCTATAACAACGACAAGTCCTTCATGCTTCTGCTTAGACTGCCGCCTTCTCTGACAGTGAAGGCCTAACACCTCACTCTCACAAGGCCAGTGCTAACTTCCTGCCCTGATCTCTCCTGACTCTCTCCTTGGATCACGCTACACGGGTCACCCAAATCTCCTTTCTGTTCCCAGGACAAGCTCGACATGCTGTGGCTTATGTCCTGCTCAGTCTAGCCCCATACCTCCTTCTTATGTGACAAAGCACACCAGAACATATGCTTACTATTTAGTGCTATTCTACACAACACAACCTTTCAAAGCAATCTGTTCAAAGCACTCAAGACTGCCAGACTCACACACTTAAAACAAAACAAGGCTTCAGAAAGCTCCTATTATTCTTCAAGAGTACATTCCTCAGCACTGAGACTCCAAACAGCAGACACGATTATGTCACTCCTAGGCAAGTACGAAAACAATGAACAGGGAAGAAACAGCAAGGCCTCTGTACACTGATCAAACTCAACATGGCCCTTTCTTTGTGGTAACATGACCTATCTTTACTAGCACTGTTTGTATGTTGATTCATATCTAACTAAATGGTGAACAGAACTAGCTTAGTGTGTATCTGAAGGAGGAAGTGCTTTGCAGACATGATAATGGTTTGGAGCATGACAAACATGCAGAGTGCCCAGCCAGTAGGGAGGCTGACACCTCACCTTCACACTGTGCCAGGAGCAGAGTCCTGGCTACTTACTTGATGAATCTCAGGAAAAGTGGGGAAAGTTCCCTGGACCTTGGCTCTACTCTCTCTGGGAACTTGGCCAAAGCTCGCCAAAGCAAGAATCGGAAGTTGGTATGGTCCAGTCGTTCCCGACAGTTGGTTTTCAACGCTAACTGCTGCTGGTAAAGAGCACCAACGTCTCCTTCCTGGGTTTGCTCCCAACTTTCATCTCCCGTGGACTCTTGGTCTCTTACATCCTTCTGCAGTTCTTTCTCTGCAAGAGAGAAATGTCACCCTCATGCCTGTAGACCACTACTTCCCCTTAAGACAGGACGTGTGTTCTAGTAACACAAAGAAAACAGCACCATCTCAGAACTTTATCAAACCAAACAAATCAACACGGGTGTCCCATCCAGACTCCTGCTCATACCGGCATGAGAAGCTGCCTTTTCCAGATGTTCATAGCAGACGTTCCAGAATTGCTTGTTTTCCATTCCATGGGCATGAGAACTAAGAGAAAAAGATCATAAAATACATGATACAGCATGGTCTTTAGTGTGAAATGTCCCATTAGAAAAATGTAAAAGAATCTAAATTAATAGTTAATTTAGAATTAACTAAATGTTAATTTCGATTAATTTTCAACATGAGGTTAAGTCTGTTATTTTTACACTGCCTACATTGCACAGACTATGTATTTTATTTTACCATTATTCAATTGTGCATATGATGTGCACGAATGAGTGGGGGCATACATGTACCAGTGTCTGTACAGAGGATAGAGTCATCAGATTATCTGGGGAGTTAGGTTCTCTCCTACTGCAGGATCCAAGGATTGAACTCAGGAACTCAGGTCATCAGACAAGTGCAGAAGAACTTTTACCTTCTAAACCACCTTGTCAGTGCACAGAAATTATTTTCACAGTCATAAAAGACTACATGATAGTTTTTAAAATGTAAGTAGATACATGTAAGACTATTTAGTTTTGTTGTTGATGATATTTTGACTCAGCCTTTCTATGAAGTCTAAGCTGGTCTAGAACCCATTATGAAGTCCCAAACTGACAATCTGCTGGCTCCCCCACCAAGTGCTAGGCATGAACTACCATATCCAGTTAAGTAGACTAATGTTAAAGACATAATAACGAAAATGGAACATGATATATTCTCCACTTTTTCCTCTCTGTTGCTGTGACAAAGACCATAACCAAAAGCAAGGTGGGGAGGAAAATGATTATGTGCCTTACACTTCAGCTCACTACTCATTGATGGAAGTCAGGGCAAGGTCTCAAAGCAGGAAGCTAGTGGCAGAAAGCACGGAGGAGCGCCGCTTGCTGCCTTGCACCTACCTAGGGGCTGTGCTGCCCACAGTGTGCTGGGTGCTCCCACACTAAAATCAATCAAGACAAGTCCTCAGGCAAACCCAATAAAGAAACTTACTCACTGACTCTCTTCAGGCGACTCTGGACTACGTCAGGTTGACAATGTTAAGAAGGCTAGACAGTATGTGAGGGAGGTTCCATTAAGGAAAGGAACTTGCTGGAGAGAAAACAACCACTGCACTGGAGTTAGTTAAGAATATCTATTTCTCTGTTCCTAATTCAAATAAACATTGACTATTTGAAATGTTTCTCAGCTGATGTGCTGGCACACGCTTCCAAAGTCACCACTCGGGAGGTAGAGAGATCTGTGTTAGTTGAAGCCCAGCCTGGTCCTCACAGCTAGTTCTAGGCCAGCCAGGAATATGTATTTAGAATCTGTCTCAAACACTATTCAGAACTTAATGCTGAGACATGAAGTGAATCATGTAGGGTTATTTTTCTACAGCCTGAAGCCCTTACAATAATATTCTCAAGTTTCCTCTATTAGACATAAATCTTCCATCCCCTTTCTCTCCCTCGCTTACCTTCCTCCTCATTCCCATCTCCTCCGTCCTCCTCTTTCACAAGACAGTGTGTAGCCCAGCCTCAAATCTGTGAGGCTCCCTGCTTTAATGTCCTGAACCCTGGGGTTACTAGTGTGCATGAGCACACCTGGCCTCCCGCTAATGAACATTCACTTGACACTAGACCTGACACTAGCTATGCATGGTGTGTACTGTACATGCAAAATCGTCCTCAGTAGTAAAACAGCCGAACCACTACAGGGAGACTTTAAAAGCATTCAGTGACTTAGGAGGCAACGTTTGTGATAATGGACCACTGATTACACACATGTCACTTCCTATCTTTTGAAGGTTACCCCCCCCCAACCCCCAACCCCCCGCAAAACCAGTCTGAAGACGAAAGCAATTTATTTTCACTATCCTTGTTTGATTGCTCTGAAAGGAAGTAAAAAGCAGGCAAATTGGTTCAAAATTGAAGAGGGATTTGTTTCCTCTGATTCTGTCAAGTAAGAACTAAGAGGATCGCAAGGCAGGGCACATGACATAGCTCCAGTCTGACAAAAAGCCAGAGGAAAGATTCAAGGACAAACATCTGTAAAAGGACAGATTTCTCTATCTCAGCCACAGCATATGCTATTTTGTGACTATTAAAATCATTTGTTAAAAGTTAAAGGTATACGTACGCACAGGTGTGTGTGTGTATGTAGGACTTTGAAAAGTCCTTATTTTTAAAGTATGGCTCAGTGATTTAATATGTAAAAATAAAAATATGTAATTATCACAATGTATCTTTTGATCATATAAAAGTGTCATAAAGTAAAAAGAAAACCCTCCAGTCATTTAAGTGCACAGAAACATTTATATAGCTAGCCTACTGAAAAACAAAAACAAAAACAAAAACAAAAACAGGCACTAGAGAGAATCTCTATTTTTCTTCCTCGTGTTGTCTCACAAAGGACTCAGATACCCAAGCACTTAAACCATACCTACATGGAACACAGGCCCGGCCCTGGTCCCATCATCTGCATCAGTTAAAGTGAATGGCCACATCCACATAGCCCACGCTTACCTTATGAGCTCAATAACAGGGTCCCAGAGGGCACTGAAGTTGACATACAGCATGCCTAACAGATAGCGGAGTGGCACCTGCAAGTCCAAGAGACTGGTTTAGTAAGCATGTGACAGGCAGGGAGAGGTCAGACGAGAAGCGCTCAAATGCGCATGCCCCTTGGACAAAGCAGGGTTTGGGAAGATGCTAAAATTTAGTGTGTAATGATTTTTCTTTAGCTCCTAAAATCTTAGTCACACTCATTAGAACACAGTATGCAAGCTCATCCTAGATGTTCGCTCACAAAGTCTAAGTCCAACTGGGAAGGAAATTCCATCATAAACACTATCATGACCCAAAGCATCACACATTAATTAATAAAGTATAGACAACAACAAAACCCAACCAAACAAACCAAAACCCCCAAGTTACAGGAAGAGTGGCTGAAACCTCCTATACCTGCTGATGCCCCAGTTCGTTCTTTCTTGCTTTGGTGGGTGGGGATGATGGTGTCTCTTTTTATAGCTCTGGCTGTCCTGGAACTCACAATGTAGACCAGGCTGGTTCAAGCTCACAAAAATCCACCCGTCTCTGCCTCTCCAATCTCAGGATTAAAGAAAGGCCTGTGCCACCATTAGGTGTCTGGTTAGCTGTCTGAGTTCCGACCTGTTGCTTTCAGAGACTCTAGGAGTCCTAAAGCTTTCTCAGTCAGCTTCTACCTGGCATTCAGTATTATCAACACTCCATTTTCCAGGTTAGACATCATGGGGAAAATTTTTAGCTTATTTGTTTTATTTTAAATTTGGGGGTGTTCTGGCTGTAATCCCTGTTCCAAATGAAATGCAGAGAACACTAATGCTCACACCAGCAAAGAACGACCTTAGATGAAAGAGGAATGCCTTTCTCACCCTTGTTCCTAATGAGTCCACGATGGACTTTCCAAAGGCAAAGACAATATATTCTGCAACCGTGAATAAATGTGGTGAAGAATATTGGCTTCAAACCTGACACAGTATCCTCCCTCGTAAGGAGTCATTTCTAAAAAGGGCCTAACGCTGCCCACATGATGCTGTGAGAACTGAATGAGATTACTATGGGAAGGTTTATGAATGGAAAGGCATGTTATGAATTACAAAGTACAAAACTTGTTCTTTTCTAGGCTGATTTGGTTTCGTGCATACACTATTAATTAGCACGAACTTGCTTTTACAGTTCTGAATGGAAGTACTTGAGCTATCTGGCCTGAGGCAGGGGTGTGCAGCAGCGGAAAGCATGAACTATGCACAATCTATGACACCTCAGCTGAATCCCAGTTCCTCTAACTAGGTGCTACGTGATCGTGAGCAAACCTGAAGTTCACTGTGCCTCAGTTTTCTTCTCTGTAAAGTATCATATGCTGCCTCCTATTCCCTATGCTTCTGGGCATGCCTAAATCCAACAAGAAGCAATGCTTGGCTTTTAAAATATCCTTTCTCAAAGAAGAGACTTCCAGAATGCAATACATGACTTGTTCTTTCTTGATGTGGAAAGGATAGAAATGAGGCTAAACACTGATAACTACTTTATTCTTACAATTTTCTTTGTATATTTTACAGCCATGCACACAGTGTGGCTATTCTGATAGTTACTTGTTTATGGCCGTCCTCTGAATCCTAAAACCTAGCTAGCTATCACCAATCCTTGAAAAGCAGTGGTTAGAGAGCATAATAACATGAAATGATCTTGATATGGAAGGACCATGTTTTCTTAGTCTACTTTCAATGGGTTTTACCTAGAATGAAATAAAACAAAACAAGAAATTACTATTTTTACTCATTTTGTTGTTTTAACATATACTTTTTTTTTTTTTTTAAATCCCAATAAAGAAAATTGTAGCTGGGTGGTGGTGGCGCACGCCTTTAATCCTAGCACTTGGGGGTGGATTTCTGAGTTTGAGGCCAGTCTGGTCTACAGAGTGAGTTCCAGGACAGCCAGGACTACACAGAGAAACCCTGTCTCAAAAAACCAAACAAAAAAAAAAAAAAAAAAAAATTGTAAGATTATGTCCCCAGTAGGGATCAAACAGAACAATCTTCCTTCTATAAACCCATTTTCACTGAACACCTACTCAGTGGAGCAGGGCACTGTGCTCAGATGATGAGTTAAAGACCTAAAGTCCTCAAGGAATATATGATCTAGGGAGTGCCTTCCAGAGGGGAAACAACCAGAATCTATAGGTAATCAACAGCAGAATGATCACCCATCAGACAGCAGGATGGCTGGGGGAGAAGGAGAGCACACCCGTGACATCCCATCAGAGATGGACTGTGGTATCAGCATCCCCTGGAGCCTGGGGACCACATTCATTTGCAGTCTCTCTGCATAACCTATGCGTGTCAGATCTCACTTCCTTTGCATATTCTTCCTCTGGAATGGGACATTACCACCTCCTTCAAGATGCAGCCAAACATCACCCTTCTAGAAATTTCCAGACTCTTGAACGGATAGAGGGTCCCCTAGTCCTCGCCCTTGACACTGTCTTACTGAAGGCAGAGGCTGAGCTTTTGACTCTGGCCAGCACCTGGTCATTGCTGGCCAATGCTGGATGAAAGATTAGTGCTAAGCCCCTAAAACCTACTGTAATGTGCTTAGATGGTAGCTAGTTTTGTACTGGGATTTTAGATTTAGCTCATGCAGTTCCTATAGCAATGGTGGACTACAGACTATTGTTTGCCTAATTCACAAACAAGGAAATGGTGTTGCTGACTTTCACCTTGGTGGTCATGAGTACTCTACTTAAATTGCTGTGGGGATACCAGGGGCCAGCAGTCAGTTCTGTTTCTCATGTGATATATTTCTGCAAACTACTCCCACACCCTCCAATCACACTCTACCCTGTATAGCTTCTTTTAAAGGACAGAACCTGAATTATTCTGTCGATAAAACTGGTCTCTTGGTCTCTCTCTCTCTCTCTCTCTCTCTCTGCTCTCTCTGCAAGTGTAGTCTTATACTTTAAAATGTTCATGTGCCATAACTAGTTAAGAGACACAAGAGAGGGCTGGAGAGATGGCTCAGTGGTTAAGAGCACCTGAGTTCAATTCCCAGCAACCACATGGTGGCTCACAATCATATGTAACAGGGTCTGATGCCCTCTTCTGTTGTGTCTGAAAAGAGCAATGGTGTATTCATGTACATAAAATAAATGAATAAATCATTAAAAAAAAGAAATTAAAAAAAGAAAGAAAGAAAGAAACACAAGAGAAACCCAAAGTGAAACAGGCTGCTGACATAGTGTCAAAGCCTCACTTTCTAGGCAAAGCAACACAAGAATGACAGTCACTGTGTCATACCATCATATACTCAAAAGGACACTATGCTATTTAATAGGCTGAAAGACTTAACTGGAAGCAGGGAAGAGAAGCAAGGTTTGCTTTACTTTGTAACAAGAATATTTTCATTGTTGATAACTATGTGGTACTACCTCCCAAATGAGATTTAAAACACAATTTAATAAACAATTTTAAAGGAAAGAAGAAAGGAAGAAAAGAAGACAGAGCCCATTACCTCCTGCAGTTGTCCCTGAGGGACCGTCCCCTGCACCACGTCATGCCTCAGCTTTCTCAAGTGCAGAAGCTTCTCTCTGTAGTCGCTCACAGTTGCCGGCACAAGTTCAGCCTGGCGTAATATAGCAAAGGCTGACTGCCTCTCTGAGAGCCCATCATCCTGAAAAGCCAGATAAAACCCAAGGCAGGTCAGAACTCTGATTCCAAAAGGAACGTGAAGCATGACTACAGGGTTTGTTTTGTGAGATGGGGTCTTACTGTACAGCCCTGGTTGGCTTGGAACTTGTTATGTGGCTGACCTCAAACTTACAGAAAATACCTGCTTCTTGCCTTCCAAGTGCTAGGATTACATGTGTGTACCACTATGCTCAGGTGAAAGGTTTAACAACAAAACAAACAAAAAGTCCAACCAAGAATATGCTGGAGAAGGGTGGATCCTTAGAGCTCAAGTGGTCAACCAGCCCAGCTGGTTCAGTGGGAAACCCTGTCTCAAAATACAATGATCAAGGTTGGAGAGGTGGCCCAGAAGTTAATGGCTGTTCTTCCATCAACAGAGGAACTGGTGGGACTTTAAATGTGGGGACTATTTAAATTTCAAAGGAAAGAGGTAAGACCAGAGGCACCAGTATAGAAACTCCCATGGCAGCACGAGCCTTCACCATGTCTGCTACCCACGAGGCTTAAAAGAACATTTAGTAGACTTGATGGGAGACAAAAATATGAATTCAAAAATACCAATTTTTATCACATGTTTACACAGTTTCTGCAAAAATATTACTTTAAAAATTAAATAATATATATGTTACGTTTTGATTTTTTATACTATCCACTCTAATAATTACAATACCTCCATTGAAACTGGAAGCCGGATGTCAAAATGATTTAGGATCCTTATTGTCAAAAGCCGAATCTAGAGAAAGTACAAGGGAGATTTCAGATTGCCTAGTGTAAGTTCACAAAGTCCACGAGGCACTGTCTCGGTGCAAAGCCTGCCTTTTCTAGTCCTTGTTTCGTATCCAATAATGACCAATACTTAATTCTAACAGTAAATGAATTAAAAATAGTAAGAGACTGAGTGGGTGAGGCTGCCCAATACACAATAAACATTGTTTCAGCTATGACAGTAATTAAATGCAAGGGCCTGACTACGCTTATATACAATTCAACTACAACCGCAGCTCAGATTCCTTAGCAACGTGGGTATTCCACACACTTGAATAAGCAGGGGAACCACCTAAAATTCTTTTTCTCTTCTTCTCTTTTTGTTTCTTTTTTCCAAGACAGGGTCTTACTATGCAGCCCTGACTGTCCTGGACCTCACTATGTAGACCAGGCTGGCCTTAAACAGATCTGCCTCCAAGTGCTGAGATTAGAGGTATACACGCTACTACTATGCCTGGCTTAAGTTTACTTTTTTGAAGTCTGAAACCTTTTTGAGAACAGCAGCATATCACAAGAACACACTCTAGTTTTAAGTTGTAAGACATACAGAGGTTGTTCACCTATTAATATAAGCACAATTTTCTAGTCCATAAAATGTCCACTACACTGATCATCCTAACCAGGCTTGCTGTGATCAGACTGTGGCAAGTGTTTAGCGTCACTCTGATGGAAATCACCCACAGCAACACCCTGATGAGGAAGTGAGTGATCACGAGCTGAACTTACAACACAGTATTACCTTGGAGACACCAGATGAGATGTTTGCTTGTAACTTGGGAAATAATTCCATTAAAGCCTCCTCAGAGAGTGGCCCTTTACATCCACATAATGCTAGCCTCTGATAATAGAGATCGGCCAACAGCAACACAGATGGCTCCATTGGAAATGTTCTGTAACAAGATATTTACGAGAGTCAAACTGCATCATACTGCTAAGTTACTAAGAAATGTCTGCTGATGAGGGAAATATAAAATGCAGCAGCTGCAAGTTTTACAGAGATACCCATCATCATTTTATAGATGAGGTCGCCAGGTGACTGATATGCTGAGACACAATCTGCTAGCCAGAGGAAGAGACGGGACTAGAACCTCAGATGCTGCCACCCCAATCCACAGCTGTGAGTGGCAGTGACATCCAAAGAGCACATGTGAAATTTGTCAAGTGTTTACAAGGGACTAAGCCAGGGAGGAAAGTGCAGCCCATACCTCAACTCTGCACTGTGATAGGCCACAGATCATCCATATGCCCATTTTATTCACAGGCATGGTCTGAAAGCCTGGCATACGCCAGTGACTTTTCTAGACACTGGATAGAAAATAAACCAAAGACAAAGCTCTTATTCTCCTGAAACTCACACTCTAGGAAAAGGTAGTCACAGTACACTAAAAACTACTCAGTAGCACAGTGATAAATGCTGGGGAGAAAAGCATTCGGGGGAAGGAGGCTATAGAGGAAACAAGAGAGTAGATGGCAGGGACCAGTGGGTAAAATGTTACAGGACGGTCACAGAATGCAGAAAAGAGGACATGAGGGTATCTGAAGGAAAAGCATTCTAGGCAGAAGAGTGAAACCAAGGCCCTCTCTGACACCTGCTCGACTACCACTCTGATACACACACTCTGACAGGGCCAAGTGAACAAGGAAATATGAGTGATGTCAGGACTCAGCAGGGGACTTGTAAGGACCTCAGACTTTTATTCCAGTAAGAGGAGTAGGCCTTCCCAGAATGACTAGCATTCAGGGCAGGAACTCTGCTGGGGGCTGCCTCATGTACTGCATACTGTTTAGCCAGAGCCCTGGCCTCAGCCTACTAGAAACCACAACAGGCTTAGTAATGAACCAGAGTGCTACTTCCAGAGTCAGCAGCTGGTTGAAGTAGAAAAATTACGCTGGACCATTTCATCACACAGCAGACAGACAATAGAACAGGGGACGTTTCTTGGAAATGCAGGCCCCAAACTGTGAGGCAGAACAGCAAGATGTAGACGCATGTAAAGGTATCTCATTAACGAGGTAAGCAAAGGGTAATAACACTGGGTGGGTGCCTACAGTAGATGAGGCCTTTGTTTCTATCACACCACAAAATAATTTTTTTAGATTCACCTAGGCTGGACATGATAATGCATACCCTTTATTCTTAGTACTTGAGAGGCAGAGGAAGGTGGATCTCTCTGAGTTCAAGGCCAGCATGGTCTACAGAGTGAGATTCAGGGCTGTATAGAAATCCTATTTCAAAAAACAAAACAAAAAACAAAACACAAAAACCAGCGAACATTTTAACTTTTTAACTCCAACCCTAGGAATATTTTGAAATATTCCTTTGCAAAGATGATTGTATACTTAAAATACTTAATCTGTCAAAAATTACTTTAGTTGGAGGATCTAATAACACTTAATTTTCCCATGTAACTGTATTTAGGTAAAAAGATTTCTGTTATATCCCAGACTTCCCACAAACAGGAGCTTTTTCTATTTTACTCATTGTTAAGACAAATGGAACCCGTGTACTTACAGCACTAAGTGCTTTACCCGTTCCACAGGAACCAGATGAAGGAGTTCAGAAGACTCTTCCAAACTTAGTAGAGTATTTACAGCTTGACAAAGAACAAATAAGTGTCCTAAGGGCAGAAAACCAAGAAAAGCACATTATTGTATCTTCCTTACAGGGACCACATATTCAGAAGCAGAGAATCAAAGCCACACCATTGACTGAGACAAGAAGCCAGCTGAGGTCAAGCACCCCTACTCCAAACCTGAAGTGTGTGAGCCCTGCTCCATGGTGTACAGTTAGCTTTCGAGTCACAATGTTAGATCTGGAATTTTCAGGTTAGGGCTCCTAACTAGCAAAATAGATGTATGTATATTTCAAAGTCTAAATTTCAAGTAAGGGATATAGTCCACCCTCTAGTATAACCCAGACGAGAATTTTCTGTTAACAGTAGACCTGGCTCACTCATCTGCTCATATCTCCTTTCTCCTCCCCCCACACCCCCCCAAAGCCTAAAACATATACAGTCCCTTTGCCAATTTCCTTTCCAGAGTAGCACCATCAAACACAATGCTCTGCAATGGCAAAAGCCTTTGTGCTGAAACAGCCAATCTAATACAGTAGCCACTAGATACACATGGCCAATATTTGAGCTATGAAAAACTTGCTGTGTAATATTCTATAGCACACTACTACTTCTATGGGTGAATAATCACAATGTACATGTGTTTGGCTATAATAAGGCACCGAGAAAGACCAAATAACTGCTTTTAAACTGTTAGGCTCTGAGGAAGACATATAGCAGGTTCTGGGACTTGGAGTAGGGTGACTTGGTCCTGCTGACAGGAGGCAGGAAGGCTTCCTAGTGATGCAACTGTGGTGGTCTGAATGATTCCTCTGGGACTCGTGAATCTGAACACTTGGTCCCAGCTGGTGGTGCTGTTTGGAGAAAGTTCTTGAACTTTTAGGACACCTTGCTGTTGGAAATAAACTCTCAGCTTCTCTCTCTGGCTGCCTGCTGCCATGCCCCTCTGCCATTATGTATTGTCCTGGACTTGTACACTAAGACAAACTCTTAGTAAGTCACTCTTGGGCATGGTGTTTCAGCACAGCAACCACAAACAATCAGCCTAAGTGATCATACTGAATAACAAACAGGATGGTTCTCAGGCAGAGGGAGCATACGCCAGGGAATGACTATGTTCCACGTGAGTAAATGAAGCAGTCTGAAGCAGAAGGTGTCCCTGAGGGGTAGGGAAGGCACACGAGATAGTGGGGACTCAAATGTCCCATGTTTTAAATTCTCCTAATACTTGACTTTCCTTGTGTTTAGGCAACTTATGGGGTACAAGTAGCACGTGACCCTGCCACACATGCACACTGTCATATGGAGTTACAGCAGAATACAGTGTTAGCACTATTCTGTGGCACACTAAGAGAGAAAAAGGGCTGACTGACTGACCTTTTCCAAAGCTCCCTCTGTCAACAGCCAGGAAGAGTGACTCTATGAAGCAGGACACAAGTGATATCGTCTTCTCTTTCTCAAGAGGTCTGTTACGAAGTGCAAAAAAGAAGGAAAATTTCAAATTTAATGGCTTAGTCACAGGATGAAAAGAATGGGTAACATTTTATTCAAAATGTTAAATGTTTGTAAAACACAAGTTTATTTCCTTACCTAAGATGAGGTAATACCACAAGGGCTGCCCAAGACTGTGAAAGGTAAGTGGCATCTTTATTTGGGGGTAACTGAACTATGGATAAGAGATGGTTTAAGACTGGAAACTGTTCCTTTCTTCTCTTGGAGTCAGCCTTCCTCTGCTGTAAGTAGGATCTGAAGGTGAAAACAATGAATGAACAGGTATTTAACAAAGCACAAGTCTGAAAGGGTGCATCTTGAAGGGAGTAGGAGCTAGGGTGATAGATAGACATAAATGAACAAGCGTGAGTCACTTGCTGACTACACAACTCCCCTCTCTGTTTTAACTGATTGTAACCTAGCCCTCCCTAGCTCCAGGCACTGCTGTGCACTGTGCGCTGGCTGCTGGGCACATCTGAAGGACTGGAGCAAACTCACTTCCTCCATTCTTCATATCTTATTTATTTCAGACAGTATAGCTATGAGCCTGGGAAGCTGGAACTGATTATATATAGCAGGCTGGCCTTGAACTTGTGGCAATCCTCCTATTTTGTGCCTTCTAAGTGCTGCTGGTATTATAGGCATGAACCACTATAATTGCCACATGAACTTTAGTATTTTCAAATGAAGAATGATGTCACAAAGTTACCATGGAAAAATTGGCAAATACCACTTTTATTATGACTGACAGGTCTCCTCCCACTTTATGTGAAACAAGGTTCCTCAATGATGTTTTGTGACTTACCATTTGTTGGTGGGTACATATTAGTCTATATAGTTATAACTAGCCCTTTCTATTGCAAGCAAAGTCCCAGAAATGATAGGTAATATGCTTTGTAACTTGTTCCTCATGTCCAGTATGGTTAACTTGTATGTATAAGAGAAGTAGTCTGTAAGGATTTTTGTTATTTAAATCAATAAAAAGTCATTTTTTTTTGGTTCCATACTTGTCAGAACACAGAATATTTAGAAATAATACATAAGTAAGTTAACTATCAATTCATTAATCAACTTAAAAAAAAACCAAAAACAAAAACAAAAAACTAGACAGGATTTCTCTGAGTAGCCCTGGCTGTCCTAGAACTCACTCTGCAGACCAGGCTGGCTTCTAACTCAGAGATCCAACTGCCTCTCCCTCCTGAGTGTTGGGATCAAAGGTGTGTGCCACCACCACCCAGCTAGTCATAGTATCTTGAGTCTTTCTAGACAATAAGCATAATATAGCAACCAATAAAAATCTTATAAAATACTGATGATGTCAAAGAAAAAGTCATTATTTGCCCCATCATTGTCCTAAGTTAATGCCTCTTCTTGCCCGGAGTCTTGAACTCAGATCTTGCAAGACTCACTCCTTCCCATTACAGTGAGTCCAAAGCACCACTCCAGAAGGGACTGATCCACTCTGTCCCACTGCCTCACCAGGTCCCTCTTCACGTGCCACTGCTGTCGTCTGCAGGATGGACAGGCACCTCTCATTCTGTCACCCCCATTGCCTACAGCAGTGGATGAGGCTTTAAATGAGCATTTCCACACCAATTCTCTCTTCCTGGTTCCTGTCAGCAGAGAGCTGGGATGGTTCTGGAGTTTTAGAGACAGGATCCCAGGCTCACCTCAAACTCCCATGTTGCTTAGGTTGGCTGTCATTACAACACTCCTATCACCCTGTTTGGGTTCTAGTCCAGTGTGAGGTGTCTGTGCACAAATACATGTCACTATGCAGCTCAAACTGTTACTCAAAAGTCACCACAGGAAGAGTTAAGACAAAGGTGACCATTCACACAAATCATTTCTGTGAAGAGTGGCAAAGGAATGTTTTCTCAGAGAAAAGAGACATGGAAGTTGTAGCACTGGCTTTGGGTTAAAAGATCTAATTTGCTTATTTTACTATGTACTTTTCTCAGGAGGATTACAGAACTGTGAGGTGTGACAGGGGCCTCATCAACCCCTTGGCTTCTCTGAGGGGAAGCTGAGAACCAAGCAGCTTCACTCCAGGGCACAGGAGACAGTTCTGGGGACACCTGCAAGAATATGCCTGCTGGAGACTGGCTCTGGCTGTGAAATCAAGCTAGCAAGGACACGGAAATGGTTCTCCAGGAGTTACTCATTATCCATTTCTCAAGAGCCAGAGCTCGCTTAAGGAAAACAGGACTCTGTTCAGGCATTTTACAAAAGCTACTTTCTACAGGAGATGTAAGCAGGCACTAGGAGGCAAGGCCTCCAATGTCTCCAGCTCACCTAATTCCAAACCAAATGCTGTGAGCTGTGGGGACAATAGCCCTCACCCCAAAGACTGCAGCCAGGGTCAAAGCGGAAACCTTAGCAGGATCTCACTGTGTAACCAGTCTGCCTTTTCTTCCTAACCCCATGCACTGACCTTAGAGTCTCGAAGAGAAGCAAACCACAGGAATGGCCACGGGTAGGTGTAAAATGAAGCACAAACACAAAGGTCCGAGGCCACTGGGATGGCTCATCGAGTTAAAGGCATGTGCTGCCAAGCCTAGGGACCTGAATTTGAGTCCCAGAGCCCATGTAGTAGAAAGAAACTACTCACACAAACTTCCTCTGACCTCACGGGCAGGTCATGCAACCACCCTCACACATGCTTGAAAGGAAAAGGTGAGCCATGGCCCCTTTAAACATGTTTAATACAACATTTTAAGTGTAACAGACTCAGGGACACAGAAGTAGATCAGCAAATACGCCCAGGTGATTTCTGACAGAAGTACAAGGGCAGCTTCATGGAGAACAGCTTTTTAACAAACGTTGCCAAAGCAAGTTAATAGCCTGTTGGCCTAAACCTCAAATTCGATGTAACAGTTAATGCATAATGTGTTCCAGACTGCATATGACACGGAAGGAAGAAATGGCAGACCGGCTACACAGTGAGACCCTATCTCCTGCCCCCTCTTCACCCCCAGTACCAACAAACACTTTTTAATGTTTGGTAGAACTGTTGTTTCTGCCATGAATTAACAAATGGTATTTGGGTCTCCAAATTCATGCCTTCTCAAGTCACTATAATGTCTATTTATGGGAAGTGGGTAGTGATTCTTCCTACTTATCATAAACCCCCAGAATTCCACACTGGGATATGTACAGAGTTGAAAACATGAACAGTCACAATAGCTTAATGTGCAATAGCCAAGAGGCAGAACTAACCTAAATGTTCTTTACACGTTAATGATTAAACAAGAGTGACATTCTTACCAGGGAATCCTTAGAAACAAAGAGGAGTGGGCTTAGTTGATACAGCCACCTGGGTGAGTCTCAAAGAAACTGTTCTGGGTGAAAAAGCTGACCAACTGCAAAGGTAAAAGGTACACTGCACGATCCTACTTACAGTGACATGCTCATTAAATCAGGAGGGCCGACTGGTGGGTACAGGGTTAGGAGAGAGGATAGCTACTAAAAGCCGTGCCAGGGAATTGTGAATGTGAAGAGTAGGGGAGAGGGGACAGGAGAGACTAGGGGAGAAGAGAAGCGATGCAATTGTTTTTGCAAACCGGAGGAGAAAATTATGCAAGGCTGAAGACCTCTATGCCTTCAGGTGGTGGTGACAGCTCTGCTGAGTGATCACCTGCACAGACCCCTCAGATCTACGGACAAACAGCACTCGGTAAATGCACAGAAAACTGAGGCAGTCTCAGTGAGCCTATAAGTTGATTCTAGTTCTAATATGGCAGCAAGATAAAGCAAGACTTGACAGAGGGAACTGTATATATGTAACCTCTCTATACATTTCTTAAAATTACACATGAATCTAAAATAATCTTAAAAGGCTTACTTAATGATCACTTCTAATCTTTATCACCATCTGAGATAAACAAAATTAATAGGTTTATGTTCCCATCCACACTTTTCCATGCTTATCCACGGCTTTGCAAGTTGGAATCATACTAACATTACGGGCACAGCCACAAGTTGAGTCTTTCCCACAGCACTTTACTGTGAACCTCCTTCTAGTGTAGATATAAATGGATGGATGGATGGACGGACGGACGGACGGATGGACAGACGGATGGATAGATCAATCATCATTTTGGGTGGTATACTTGAACATTAAATTAGGACTCAATAATCTACCATCACCATGGGCAGTAGATTTAGAACTTACCCCACTGTCTGCTGTGAGAAAATCAGAGGGTACTTTTCAATGGCCATGGAGCCGGCAGTGGGAGGAGCAGCTTTGTTCAGAATGAGTTTGGCTAAAATGGCCAGTGCTTCATCGCTGACCACAGAGTTGTCCATCAAGAAGCAATTCTCAATGTACAAAAGAAAGCTCGGTAGAAACAGCTGAAGACAAAAATAGGAAATTTACATGCATTAACAGAAGCAAATTCCAGGACACCCAGGAAAGAGATCCTAATAGAGTGTTGCAAAGGAACAGAATTAAAGTTCTCCAGGAAGACAATCTGGGAACACTAGGAACACTGACAGAAAATGACTACAAGTGAGACGTTAATGACTGGTCTATTACCAATGCAGTGCACACCTCAGATACACTGACTCTTACGTCCTGCCATTCACCCTCCCAAACCTGTTAGAGCTCCGACTCCGAGAGAAGAGCGGAAACAGGAATGGGACGGAGTACAGGGCCGAGGGACCAGGAGAGAAACAAAGGCCACCGCAGTGGACGCCCATCCAATGGCTGAGAACGCAAACCCTAGACAGGAGGAACCTAAGGGAGCAAAGAGGAGAAGGTGAGTTGCCCCCAGTTTGCCATATGGGGTGTTCAGAATGCTGCTGGGTGTCAGTCACAGACAAGGTATCCAGCATGGGACGCGTGAGGCAACTGCTGATTCAGAGAAAGATAGGCAGACATAAAAGGACATGACATCGAACTCTAAAATTCTTCTCATTTATAAACTGTAAGTGGTAGATATGGAGTCAATCAAACCCCAAGATAGAACTCTCCTGTGCAAAATAAGGGAACTAAAATTAATGTACCAGAGGAGAAAGTCTACTGATGAGGCCAACACTAGCTTATCACAGAAAGAATACATTTAGGTGAATCCAGAGTAAACACCAGGGAAAATAAGAAAAAGATTACTTGTGGCTACTGCTGCTAACATGAGAAAACAAATGATTTGTCTTTTAGCCTTGTCTGACTGGTTTAAACCAACACACACACACACACACACACACACACACACACACACACACACACACACGAGGTCTTTTACTTTTTCTGATACAAGGTCTCAGACTGTCTTTGCTAAGCTTGAACACCTGATCCTCTGTCTTCATTTCCCAAGTATTGGGATTATTGGCATACGCCATCACTTCTGGATAAGATTTATGTTTTATTCCTGCATGTAAGTATGGGAGGGTAAGATGGGGTCTCATGCAGCAGAGGCTGGTCTGACTTGCTATAAAGCGGAGAATAAAACTATTCTCTCTGCTTTTAATTCACATCCAAGTTCTTTGAACTGACTTTTCAATTTTACCAAATGGTTTTCTAAATAATTCAATTACTGCTAAAAACACAGTAGCTCGTGGGTATCATTGGGTTTGTGTGCATACGTATATTGACAGAGTCTCACTGTAACACTGCTAGCTTGGCCCATTATATAGTCCAGGCTGGCCTTGAACTCACAGTAATCCACTTGCTTCAGCCTCTGAAGTGCTGTGAGGACAAGCTTGCATCACACCTGGGTTCAGGATTTCTTGGTGTGGTGGTGGTTTTAGAGACAGGGTCTAAGGAGCCTGGCCCAGCCTTAAGCAGTCTGGCCTTAAACTCACCTTCCTGCCTCCACCTCCCAAGTGCTGGCATTAGAGTCTGCACTGCACAGATAAGTCATTTTAAATGACTTAGTATATAAAGTTTCACATATAATTGAATTGAATACAATTTCTTTAAAATTATATTAACTAAAACAGCAAGCACTGAATCTGTTCCTCTCAAAAAACAGCAGCAACAACAAGAATAACAGAGAAACCACAGGATTTCAGATTTGATTATTTCATGACATATTTATAAAGTACCTTAAAATTAATGTCTTGCTTACCTGCTCAAACTGCTTCATAGCAAACATGACTTCAGAAAAATCCAAAATCAAACGTCTTTCAAATTTGCTTTCAAATACCTGAGAAGCAGCAGAGATCAGAAGTATCTGTAAATGTACACAGTGGGTCTCTCCTCACCCCCAGCGTAACTACAGTAGGTAAACCACATGCCAATACTGATTCCATCCAGAGGCTTAGTGGGCTCTGAGGGAACTCAGAGCACAGCAGGTGTCTCAGTGACTACGACAGGCCCTCAAGGATGCTTGGCTCCTTCCCAGCTTTAGGCAATCACAACAGGAAAAGCAGAAGGTTCCATATGAACTTGGGTTTCCATTTTCAGTTCCACTCCAACCTAGTTTCCAAACCCACTAGACTGCAAACAGCTTAGCATGACCCTGCTCAGAATTCTCCCAGAGCCTTCCCTATCTGCAGGATAAAGCCAAACTTCCCAAAACTAAGAGAACTCTTCTCGTATGGTGGCAACACATTCTCGGTGTCCCTGTGCCAGACTACATGCATTTGTGAAAACAAGTGAGTCATTAATGTTCCTTCTCCTGGGTTTTTTCCTCCATTAGCTAACTGTTAGAAACTTTAAAAGACTACTAGAAGCATGTGTCCTTTGAAAAGCTTTCTCTGTTCCCCTAGTAAGTAGAATTAACAATTATAATTCAACAGACATCTCTAAATTATTAGTTCACCATATTGTAAGTACTTACTCCCAGGCTCCCCAATCCCTTGTCAGAATGGTAGGTATCATATCTACCCTGGACATGTAGCCCACTCATGCTCTGCACAGCAGACTATGCATGCTCCCTAATGTTTGCTCTTACTGCGCCATTGTGCTTGTTGCCATGAGGGCATGCAGCTCCCATCTCCTCAACAAGAACAATCCTTTGGGACAGAGCCTTTGTCATGCTTCATCTGTATATACAGCAGACATACTCAACGCTAAACACATTATTAACTACACAAGTAACAGCTGCTAAAGTGAATTACTTTTTCTATAGTTTCTTTGATGAGGGTCTCTGGCAAGGAAACATTCTCAGCTAGGAGCAAAGCAGAAACTACATCCAAGAGAGTCTTCCGGCAAGATGTGGACAGATTGGCTGTCTGTAATGCTTCAGACAATACCTGTAATAAGAGAAGAAAACACAAGGCACACATAGCAGTCTACACTCCACCCTCCGCCCCGCCTCCAGTGCTGTGGATCATCAGTCCTTGCACATGCTAGGTGAGTGCACAGCACCGAGCTACGCCCCAGTCCCGACCTGTAACAAACGCTTAGGTACATCAGACTTGGGAACTCACCCCACAAACGTCAGCAGGCAGTGGTATTTTGGAGCCACTTCCGTGTTTCACGACGATCAGGTATGTTTCCAGCAAGCGGCTCATCTGTTCAGAGCTTTCACGGCAGTTTGCTTCTGTCGATTTGTTGTGTAGCTCCAGGAGTGACTCCTTCAAATCAAGAACAGAATGGGGAAAACAACCACAAAATTCCCAACCCATTCGCTCATCCAATAATGGAATATTCTGTGACAGCTCCCCTCTTCACACTCTTCTGCTTTATAAAAAAGGAAGATGAATGTTTTGAGCATAACTAGACAGCAGCAGCTAGTATTTACACAGCACTGCGTTCTTTGGAAGTATTTATACACCCTCATAGCCTCCTTGACACAGGTAATATCAGCCCCATTTTAGCACATGAAAACACCACGCAACTGGAGCTGTAAATAACTGTTCTGAGTCACACTAGCAGTGAGAGCAAGATGCCGACAGGAACTCTGGCAATTCTCACAGCCACTAAACTCCACTGACGTCAAAAGACTAGAGGGGGAGGGAGAATCGATGTACTCAATGTACAGAAGAAGCATAGGAAATGATGATGAAACACAATGTCCGACAGTGTGCTGCTCTGCCCCAACAACAGAGACAGCTACTCAGACTGCCCTGTTACATACCCATTCTTAACAGTTAGAACTTACTTGCAAACAGTCAAAAAACACACCAAAATGTTCCTTGTAGATATACACTACAGTGGATCTGGCCATGGTTTTCAGGGTTTCCCCAACTAGAATCCACGGTAGTTGAGTTTCTGTCTCAGTGACTGGTCCTAGCTTCTGCAGAAGGAGCGGGAGTGCCTGTGGGAATGCAAGGGACAGCAATTAATATGTTTTTGAATAAAATATTTTTTAAAGAAAGTATTAAGCTGTGTTTTATCACCCTGATGTTATTAAAGGTTTGGCATGGAATAATCAAGGATTTGGAAGCTTTGACTGTTAACTCTGTAGCCCAGGCTGGGCTTGAAATTACAATCCATCTGCCTCAACATGCATGGTGCTGGGATTACAGGTGAGTACCAATCACACTGCCCAGCCTTAGCATGGGGATTTATCACAGAACAGCCTCTCACTATCTACCCATGATCATTAATCAAGCACTCAGGATCAAAAAGACCAAAGCGATTCTATAAGTAAAAGGACCCAAAAGCTGCATCGAGAAGGACAGCATTAACCCTGCCTCTCCCGAGTGTGTGCTTCCTGTGCATTCCAGGCCACCCTCCCTGTCATCTGCTTGAGTTTCCTCTACACAGACTCCAAGTACTGCTCCCCACTCGTTACCTGGCCTGTGCAGGAATGAAACATATTTCTGACTCCTTTGCACATTTCAAAGAGCAGTTGTCCAACTCCTTCCACTTTTTCTGGATGTTCATTAAGATCAAGAAACATTAAATTGAAAAGTGCATTTTTATCAGAGACCTAAAATGAGAAATGGGAAATTGCATTTACAATACAAGTTTATCTAAGAAGCCATATTTCCTATTTTACATATTCATACTTAAATGGACTTTGGAAGTTTCTGAAAGGCACAGACGTAATAACTTCAAGCTACTAGAACTGTATACTTGCCTCGTAACTGTCACGTAAGGGTGATAATTAATCAGGCTGACAGGAAGGAATGTGCTAAGAAAAACAGCACAAAGCAGCACTGTATCTTCTAAAGTAAACCAAATATTCATATTTTATGAACATAAAAGACATTTAATACACTGTTTTATTTTATTACCACAACCTAAAATTCAGTAGGAATTGCAGACAAACACAAATGGTACAATGCTAGTGTTCTCTTGCAGGAAATCATTACAGAATTCCCCACACTGACCAAAGGGCACTTATAATATGTACAGTGAAAGTTAGAAAAACCCAAGTAACAGATGATCCAAATTATAGCTCAATAACTACTAAACAAAGACTAAACTTTATGGCAACATAAGCTAAGAATAATAACTAACTTCTGTTTATGTATTTAAAAAAATTACTTCGTAATCACATTTAAAAATCCCTCTATTCTAGTCATCCGATTCTTGACAGTTTAGTACCAATAAGCACAGAAAAGTATCACACTAACCTTTCTCATCAAGAAAGTAAAACTTTCGGCAGCAAAATTTCTTATATGTAGTTTTTTATGAGCCAAGAGGGTGCTATACAGGCTGTAAAAGGAGAAAAACAGGGCAGATCTGTCAACAGCATCAACTTAGTACAGACGTGCTACATGTCAGTAATCTGGTCATCAGTGCTAGGTATGCACGTGATTACAGAGACATGCAATGTCACACAAAAGGCGGAGTTAGAGGCAATAGGCTATATGGCAGTGATCATTACAGAAAGACTTCATGAAATGGTCAAACACACAGAGAATTCTGAAAGGCAGCATAAATTCAGCTGTGAACTGGGAAGCTTATCATTAGGAAGATCGAAGATGAAGTGGGTACAAATAACTAACTACATCAGGGAATAGTTAGAAGCCAAGAGATACACCTCAGAGAGGAGGGGTGAGACGGCTAGGGAGTGTGGGAAATGACGGGTAACCATGTAGCTCTGAATCCCAGCCAAGCACGAGTCTGGGCAGCAGTTTGCATTTCTGTAAGTACCTCCTCTGCATTACTTCATTCAATCAGGACAGCTCTGTGAGCTGGGTACTATTACTACCTCCATTATTTAGATAATGAGCCAAGGGCAAGGCTAAACATCCTGTTCATTGTCATATACCACACTGCTACAACTAATTATAGACCTGAAAGGTCAGACAGCCTAATGATAGAAAAGCACAGAATATGCTGTCCTATTTCTGTCATGCTAGTAGCTAACAGCACCTTAATAACAGCAGGTGTGAATAAACAGTGCCTGAATATCGTACTTTCTGTAAGATTAATTTGGCAGCAACATACAAGCTAAAGGAAAAAGGAGGCTAATGATCTAGTTAAACCGCTAGTCAGGTAACAGAAGCTTGGGGCATCAAGGCATGCAAGAGGCATAGAGAGAAATGGAAAGGCTCAATCCAGAAGATACTTCAGGAGTCCCTGCAAAGGAGCTGAAGGCCTTCCAGTGATCCAAGACCCTCTATGACCTGTTCTGTTCTCCATCCTAACATAAGTACACAACAAGGACTTCTGTATGTTTTATTTGTGACTATACCAAGTGAATTAAAAGCAGATAACACTCACTGCAAGCTCACTGAGCTTTATAAATGACAGAGGAGAATTTGGAATCCTGGTAACTAGATCAAAGATGCCTCTAAGAAGCCAAGAGCAAGATCACTGGCATCACTGTCCGGCTCCACACCCACACCTTCTATTGGGATGCACAGGAGAAATCACAGGAAAACCAGATGAAGGGTATCATTTAGTCTGACTGATTTAAACAGGTAGGAATCTTGTTTTCTTTAAGCAAAAAGCCACCAAGAAATTCATTCTCCTTCCACATCCCTGTACATTTAAAAAATGGTATCTCTTTTGATGAGCATATAAATACATGCTGAAGATAGATATATATGCTTATTTATTGCTGGATAAGGACCAGCATTTTAAACAGTTTTCTTAAACAGTTCAGGGGGTTGCAGAAGACAGGATTATATTACAAAGAACTATAATAAAGCTTGCATGATCCAATCAACAAGACAAAATAAAACACATCTGAGAGGTCCAGAATTCAAAGCTATCATGGCTAATAAGGGGGGGGGACAACATGATAAACTCCTAGTCAAGTTTGGATGGGTGGGTATAATTTTAGGAGCTGAGGAAGAAAGAATGTAAGTACATACAAATTTAAGATATACGAAGCAGATCGACAGATTAAAATGTAGATTACTGTGACTGGCACATCAACTCTGTATAAGGAAATAATTAGGTAGTGTACTGGAAAGGTATTCTGGAGTCAGGGAGAGGTCAGGGCAAAGGAAGAAGAAGGCAAATCAGAACAGTGCAGAAGAAAAGGGACACCTGTATATCTTGGACATGTCCTTCACCATCAGTCTCCACAGGTACTTGTAAAGATACGAGAGCGAGGTGAAAGCCCATTCTAACAGTTCTGTGTCCTGAGTCTCCAGGATGGACGTGATTGTCAGGAAGAAGTCTTCAAAGTGGGGGTAGAAATCAGTCTGCAGATCTCGTGCCAACTGGACTACTAAACTGGATTGAAAAAGAAGCAACCAATTAAAAATAAAAAGCTGTTTAATAGTATAGATAGCCTATGACCATTGCATGAATTAAAACAAAGAACTTCTTATCAAGCCTCTGTTGTTGCTGTTTAGTTTCTAAAACAAGACCTTATCTTGCTGTACAGCCCAGGCTGGACAAGATCCACCTGCTTCCACCTCCTGAGAGCAGGGATTATAGAGTGCGCCATCATTCACAGCTCAAGGCTGAAGAGATATAAAATTCTTCAAATCTTAACAGGTGAGCAATGAAAGTAAATCAGAAACAGTTACGGCAGAACTTGGGACCACGCGTCCCTGGTTTCAAAGAAACAGTTGCGGGAGAACAGAGACAGTGAAATGTACACCCGGGACACTGCTGTACAGCAACACATCGTTTTCTTACACAGTAAACTAACAGAGAAGGCAGATGCATCCTGCGTCTACATTATCAACAGTAATTCACGGCCAGTGATGAAACATGATTTTCCCTAAAACTCAGACAAACACCACTGAGCCTTCATTTGAGATGTGACTTACTCCAAAAGAGGTTGGAAGGCAAAACTGTTCCTAATCTGCAGGTGAGTCTTCAAGCTCTGGACGATTTCATTTTGATGATAGACCAACTGGTTAAAAGATTGGCATTTGTCAATGACTTCTTTGTAAAATTTCCCTGGATTAACAAAAGGAAAAAAGAAAGGAAGAAAGCAAAAAGGATTATATTCTGTTTCTTCGTTGCATAACTAGTTGTTGGGAACATACAATGTGCAAATTATAGGAGGATGAAGTACAAGGAAACAGACAGTACCGAAGTGCTCTGTAAGGTTCAGTTCTCTCCACTTCAGCAGAGCCTCGAAGAAGTAAGTCTCGACGTCCTGCCAAGAGCAAGGCATGAGTGAGGCAATGCCAGGACAACTGACCAAGCTGTAGAGCACAGACCACAGCCGGCATCTTAGGACAAGCATCAAGGGTTTAAAAACTCCTTTCTGTGTTTTTGAGAAGAGGGGAGACCCAACCTCTTCAAGCCACTGGAAGTCTACCAGCAGCAGGTGAATTAAAAAACAAGCCTTGTTGCTTTGGTTGCAGCAAATAACTGTCTAAAGCCCACGTAAGGAAAAACTGCCTGCATACAAAATGCGTCGGACTCTTCAGTTATTCCATTCTGCTTTTAGACATGAAGACTGCTACAACCCTATGGGGAGGAAATCTGGTACTTTATTTAGACATAAAATTAAATATGTCCTTCCATCAGCAATTTTTCTTTTTAAGCTATTACTTACACACATAAAGGTTTATTACATTGAGAAAAAAATCAAAACAGCCTAAAAATCCATCAGTAAGGTAAGAGTTGTACTACTTCTGTGGCCTATACATACGAAAGTGTGCTATGTGGCTATCATACTAGGAGCCGGATGGTATCAGTACACTCCTTTAATCCCAGCACTCAGGAGGCAAGGCAGGCAGATTTCTGAGTTTGAGGCCAACTTGTTTTGCAGAGCAAGTTCCAGAACAGCCAGGGATACACAGAGAAACCCTGTCTCAACCTTCCCTCCCCTGAAAATTATATTAGGGTTGAGGATAGCTCAGTGGTAGACAGTACCCTTAGCACACGTGAGGCCCTGGGTTCAATCCCTAGCAACAAATGAATAAAAATTAAAATCATTTTGTTGTCATTAAGTTGAAAGATGGTGATGATACATCCCAGTGTGATAAAAGCGCATTATGTATAGATACATACATCTCTATATTTGTATCTAATTTTTTTTATTTTAATAAAGAAACTTCTACAAATAGCTATACATATTAGCTTAATATAGTATATATTATCCTGCACTTTGGAAAAGTATAATGGTTTAATTACAGAAAATAAAGACAGTATTTTCCTATGTAACTTAGTATACCTTTTGATTGTGTTGTGTTAGAATGTTTGATTTTAAAAATCACTCCCTGAGTTGCTGGGTAAAGAAGGTTGGACAGAGAAAAAGTTTAGTAAGCCCTGCTATAAACAATGACTTACAATGGAAATGTCACACACAAAGCATGGCCTTATGAGGGCATCCTGCTTTCACTGTCCTGGAAAGACTCTTACCTTGTGAAAAGAAGGCCAGTCTATCTGTGTTGGAGAGCGACAGGAAGAGTCTCCTGATGAGTTTTATGTCAACTTGATGTAAAAAGAGTCATTTTGGAAAAGGAACCTCAACTGAGAAAATGCTCCCACTAGATTGGTCAGGGAGGAAAGTCTGTGGGTCATTTTCTTGCTTGATGATGATGTAAGAGGGACCAGCCCACTGGGGACCATGCCACCCCTGGATGGTCCTGGGTGGCATAAGAAAGTAAACTGAGCAAACCGTGGAGAACAAGCCAGTAAGCAGTATTCCTCCATGGCCTCTGCTGCAGTTCTGGTCTCTAGGTTCCTGCCTCGAGTCCTCCCCCCCACCCCTTTTTTTTTTGTTTTTTCGAGACAGGGTTTCTCTGTGTAGCCCTGGCTGTCCTGGAACTCACTCTGTAGACCAGGCTGGCCTCGAACTCTTGATCTCAGAAATCTGCCTGCCTCTGCCTCCCAAGTGCTGGGATTAAAGGCGTGCACCACCACTGCCTGGCGAGCTCCTCTCCTTGCTTTTGATTGTTAGTCTTGATCATAGCAATAGAATTCTAACGAAAACAAGAATGGAGACCAACAACTCCAACTGTAAGATATGTAACTGAAACCATTTTGGACCATTCAGCCTAAGAATTTTTGTAAGGAAAACTCTTATAAAAAGATGCCAATACATATTCATTATGTAAAAATTGTGCACTCTCATCTTCAACATTTTATTGTTTGGTACCTTTGACCTGTAGCTTACACTAAAACCACCTGCCGAACCCAAGTCTCTAATTCTGCCTTTGGATTCACCTATGCTCTACATTCACGAATGCTCTGAGACAGGGTCTCACTATGCAGTGTGGCTGGCCTCCAACTCACAGAGATCTGCTTTCTAGGTCTGAATTTGGGATTAAAGGCGTGACCACCACACTCTGCTAGTCAAATGTGTTTTAATGTTTCCCCTGGTGGTCCAGTAGTAGTTAAGATTTACTGTGCTTTCTGGGACTGTCCCTTTCTCTCAAATATCCTATGGACACTATAATTTGCATGGATCACAGGTACTACACATCACATTCAACAAGTAATTATCTTCCTCTCAAGAATTGCATGCTCTCTCTCATTTGCATTTAATGTCTATCATATCTTTAGAGAGTGTGTATGCACATGTGAACAGCAGAGTCTTGACAGACATTAAATGCAAATGAGAGAGAGCATGCAATTCTTCATCCTCACCTGGAGTCCCTTCAGATTGCTGAGTGGTATCTTCAACCATCCTGCTACTGTAACCAAAAACCTGCTTTCTGTCCCTCTCCACATGTTCGGTAGGTCAGTTCCTACTCCTGATCGTAATATCCCTGAAACTTCCCTTCTGTTTTGGTTACCACTATCATAACCATCTCTCATATAGACATCAGATCTTCTCTGCTAGTTTATATCCCGCTCTTTCCTTCGTGTTTAAGACGAAATTTTAAGCCTAATCATATCCTGACCATGTTGCTCCCCTGCTTACAGTTCAGGAACAGAATCCTATGGCTTTAGGATAAAATCCAAACTTCTCAGCATATGAAACTCTTTATGGTCTTACCAATCTCTCTAGCTACCCTCCTCTGCTGTTCCAGGCACCCCACATGTGTGCACCCTAAGCACATCTATAAGACTGAACAGTTTTATAGTGCTTTAAATGGGACACACATTCCCTAGCTTCGACTGCTTTGTGCAGACTTTTCCCTCAATCTGCAAGAGCCACTCTTGTCCTCTTGCCATGACAACACCTACACCAACAGCAAAACTCAATTCACGTCTCATCTTACAGATCATCTTTTGACATCCTTTCTGATCCTCTCAGAAGGCTGCCTTCACTGTGAGTTCTCAAAGCATTTCATGATGGGCTAGATGACATCACTTACCCTGTTAACGTGGTAGAAGACAATGCAGAGACTCAGTATTGAATCTGATCAGTAACAGATGAAGAGCTGGGGTTGAAACCCCAAGTTAAAGGTGTCAACATAAACAAGACTGAGGTTAAGGTTAAGCCTTTTAAGAAAGGCTAGCAGAAACATTAAAGGCTTGGTATAGCAAAAAGGAAAACACTTCTTCATAGAAGAATGACAGGAATGTGGTTACAACTGGAAAACTGTGCAGTCCAGTATCTTAAAGAGGAAGAAACTAAACCCCAGGAAAGTGACTTCATTAAAATCTCTGTAAAATCAGAGCTGCCTTTTTGGCTGGTCTGTACACCCGCTTGCAATGTACACAAGAAAAGAGTTTCCAGTAACAAAACCCAACTGAGAATCAAGTCAAGCCAACTGTTTAACTCATCCAACTGAACTTGAGGCCAGGACGGACATGCACCATCCAGTATGGTAGGTACTTCTCTAGTATGATTCCAACTAACTGCATATAGCTACTGAGGGATTTAGGTTTAAAATGAATTAAAAACATATTTGCTGCGTGTGGTTTTTTTTTTTTTTTTAATTAGACAACACAGGTCTAAATCACTGCATGCACATTAAAAACGATTTGAAAACAGCTTACTTACATTAATTAGTAAGAGAAATTTAAAACATCCTCTTACCTCCTCATAGCTTGCAGTTCTATCGATACGGTGAATAATATCAATGTTCACATTCCCTAGTCTTTCAGCAAATGTAAGAAACTGTAGAGAAAAGCATATTTAAGACACATTAACATTCAATGCTTATCATATTTTGATATCCGTTACACCATAATCACACCAAATTCTGAACATAGAAGAATGTCTAGAACTTCAGCGAGTGAAGTGGTGATCTGGACCATCACCACAGATAACAGTACCCTTAGCTCATAATTTCAGACTTATGGTTTCTATTGATTATAAAATGAGTAACTTTTTAAAATAAGAACAGCTATTACTTATGAAACACAAAAGGTAAATGTAAGAACGCTAAACAAATACACTGTTACTACTTAAAGATAATAAATACTTCTATATTTTTGCATAACTTACTTCATTTTTGTGTATTTCTTTTTAACTTAAGTATCCAGGTTGGCTTGGAACTGGCTATGCAGCCAAGGATGACCTTAAAATTTAAGTTCTGATCCTCTTGCCTCTACATCACCAGGTCTGGGTTTTTGTTGTTATAGTTGTTGTTTTTAATGGGGTGTAAGTGGCTGGGGATCCAACCCAGGGCTTCCTGAATGTTAATCAAACACTCTACCAACCGATCTACCGCCTACATTATGTTTTATCGAATACAATTTCCACACAAGATTGTAGAACCTAGACGAACGCTGACAAGCTGATGCTGCATCTTTCACATTTCATACCACACGGAATGCACAGGGATCTCGCTAAGTTGTTGAAAAACGTTTATATTTTAAAAACGCAGACTCAGTTACAAAAGAACCTGGAAAGACATTATAAACAACTACAGTAGCCAGCAGAAGTCACTCGCCACTTGCCAGCCCGCCTCACCCCACTCAGTTCAGTCTTTAAAGTTAGAAGGGGAGATTCGGTTGCTGGCAATCCCCTGAGACAATCAATTTGACCCTCAAGTGAAGGAAACTGCCCAGACAGGTCAGATCTCATCGTTAAAAGGTGGAATCTGTATTTCAAGTTTCTTAACTTCCCTGCGAACTAATGTTTATTATACTGGCAAAGTCTCCCATTTTCGCCGGAGCCCCGGGCAAATGATTCCGGCTTTGCCCCGACTCTGGAGGCCCAGGAGTTACGCTATCAGCTAGTCAGGCAAAGGCAGGACGAAACGCGGCTCCCGGCCCAAACTCCCGCGCTCACCCGGTAAGTGTTCTCGGTCTTGTGGGAAAGTGGCTTTGGCTTCATGACTGCGGCGGGACAGCGGCCCGCGAGGGTCTCAGGAAGACAGGAAGAGATCCGCCGGCAGCGCGGAGGAGAAAGCGGCTCACACGCAGTAGTTCTCCGATGCTCGGTTGCCTGCTCTTTCTCACGTGTAGCTAGCACCGCTGGGCGCCGCCATGTTGGAAAGCCAGGATGTGTCGGTCACGTGGGCGGAAGAGGCGGGCCGAACATGCGTGCTCTTCCTGGTTGCTAGTCGTGCAGTTTGTGGATGTGCTGTTTTCACTATTTGAGAAGTTGGCCAACACAAAACGAGCTCAATGGTTTTTTTGTGGACGTTTTGTTTTGGGCATTTTTTTGGGGGGTCATATTTGTCATTTGCCTGTTGGCTTTGATTTTCGTTTTTGTAGATTGTTTATTTTTTTTAAGGGAGAAGAGCGTACAGTTGAGTGGGTTGGGAGAATCAGAGGGGTTGGGTGAGGGTAAATCACGATCAAAATATATTGTATAAAAATTTTTAATAAAAAAGGATAAAATGAGCCAGGCGGTGGTGGCACACGCCTTTAATCCCAGCACTTGGGAGGCAGAGGTAGGCGGATTTCTGAGTTGGAGGCCAGCCCGGTCTACAGCGTGAGTTCCAGGACAGCCAGGGCTACACAGAGAAACCCTGTCTCGAAAAAAACAAAAAGAAAAAAAAGGATAAAATGGTTTTATTATAGAAAGAAAGCATAACAGTCACCAGCTAACATTAACGCTACATATCCTGTATTGCCAAAAGCTATTTCCACCCATAATTTACAGTAATGTTGGTTATAAAGCCAAAATGTGAGCTGTATGGTTTTTTTCTTTTAGCCCCCTTAGCATGCAAGGAAACCAAAGTTGGGCGTCTTGTAAGTGATGATCTTCATTCACACTCGTATTCTGAAGGTCCAGGTTTTAGTTTGTTGGTACTGGAAAATAAAATAAAATCTGGGTCTTCATGAATGCCAGAAAGAGCTCTACCACTGAGCTAGAGCCTACAGCTCATATATATATATATTTACATATATGTGTGTGTGTGTGTGTGAGTGTGTGTGTGTACAGCTTTTAAAATACTCAATAACTTTTCTAAACTTACCATTTGTTTGATCAAGTATTTTCTGAAAGTGTACTATGGGGGAAAATTGCTCATATCTTAGAAAGTCAAGACAAGCTATAAGTAGACAGTAGGAAGGATGCATTGTCACGTAGACTTGGGCTATCTACAAGGTGATCTGAGCTTACGTTTGCAGGAAGTTTGAGAGATGAAAACACTGTAACTCTTGACATATACTTTTGGTTATTTCTAATCATCAAATAATATATTTGTAAACAAACTCTAAGAGGACTTATATGGCAGAGACCCACATAACCTTAGTGGCCAGCTCTTTTTATGCTCATAAGCATGTCTACCACAAGATACATAGTCACAGAGTTATAAACATCTGCACAAATATTGCACATAACATTCAGGCAGAAACCCAATGAAAAGAAGGAGAATGAGCCATGGAGCTATTTGCACAAAAATTGAAGGAGGTACATCCAAGTGCAAAGTCCTTGAGATAAGATTTCATCCTAGCCTAGCTTGTGAGTAATCAGAGCCCCTTGTGGGTAGAATACAGTGCATCAAGGTATTCTTGCCCCCCGCCATTTATTATCCTTCCCGTTGTAATCTATTTTAATCCACAGGAGTACTGGGTATTTCCTCAACTCATGAAACAATTTCCATGACTTTTGAAGTGGGTTTGGTTGGCCAATCCATCATTTTATGTAAGGAATAGATTTTCTTTCCTCATGAGTTTTGTTTTGTTTTTTGAGACAAGGTTTTTCTGTATAGCCTTGGCCATCCTGGAATTGTAGACTGGGCTGGTTTCAAATTCGTAGAGATCCCCCTGCCTCTGCTACTCAGTGCTGGGATCAAAAGTGTGCACCACCAATCACCACCTAGCTTCCTTCCTCACAATTCTTTGTGTTAGAGATTAAGGTGTAAAGCTGCCCTGGTTATATACAAATCAAATAATCCAAAGGGAAATAACATTAGTAAGATTCCTTATTCATAAAAGACTTTGAGTTTCTCCAATAATTTCACATCCATTACCTCTATTGGTCTTTATGACAGCCCTGTGAGGTAAGTAGAAAGATATAATTGCCATCATATCATACAGAAAGAAATGAAGTAGTCCCAGAGAAAATAAGCAATTTTGCCAAGGTCATGTGCTTTTGCTTGCCGATGCCAGAGTTTCTTACTCAGGCTTCAAAGGCCCTGGCACAATGCTCATCTTCCCTAGTGATAAATAGTTGGCACTGTTTAGCTCTTGATGCCCCAAGCACTGTTCCAAGTACTTCCCATACAATGACTCATTTACTCTTCCTACCAGATAGTTCTAATATCATCTTCACTTACCAATGGGAAAGCTAAGAGACGGACAGACTGGGTAACTTGGCAAAGACTGGCTAACCCCGTAAGGAAGTCAGAGTACCCAACAGTTGCAGGCAATGTTCAGAATCTGTACTCTTAGTTCATGCACTATGCTACTAGAAGATTTGGAAAACGTTTTGTGATTCAGGCGATTTAAGGGCACAGCTCAAGAGACTTTGAGATCAAGTCCAGAGATCTGCTTACTCCTGAGATTGTTGCAAGCTCTTCCTTTGATGTCTATAGCCTCTTGGTCTTATTATACACTTAATGTGATTGGGAGATATAATTAAATTTTGGTCCTTAAACTATTTATCTAGGTAGGGTGGAAGAAACAAGGCCAAGCAGTTATCCTTTCACTGTTTAGCTTGAATTCATTAAGAATAGGAAGTAATACAATGCCCGTGTGTGGTTTTTGCCTCGTTTGCCTGTATTGGGTTACACAATCTCTATTATCCGTTTTCTATTTGGATCCTCACCCCTATTTGTTTATTCTCAATTCATGAAGTTACAATGACAAAAGGGCTGTCCTGTCTCCAGGGTTCCATACATGGCCTAGATCACAGTGTGTGTGTGTGTGTGTGTGTGTGTGTGTGTGTGTGTGTGTGTGTG